TAATCTTGTTTTGGTATCAGGGTGATGGAGGTTTTCATATAAATGAGTCTGGAAGTATTCTCTTCCTTTTAACTTTATGGAATAATTTGAGGAATATCACATTAGTCCTTCTCTATACATCTGGTAGCACTCAGCTGTGAATTCACCTGGTCCTGGGCTTTTCTTCCTTGGGAGTATCTTTATTACTGCTTCAATCTCAATGCCTGTTGTTGTTCTGTTTAGGTTTTTACATTCTCTTARTTTGGTTTTGGTAGGTCATATTTATCTAGAAATTTATCCATTTTTTCTAGATTTTTAGTTTATTGGAATATAAGATTTAAAAATCATCCCTAACAATCCTCTCAATTTTATTTCTATCTGTTGCAATATCCACATTTTTGTCTCTAATTTTATTAAATTAGGTCCCTTTCTTTTGGATAATTTGGCTAGGGATTTATCAAACTAGTTGTCTTTTTCAAAGAAGCAACTCTTTGTTTTATTGATCCTTTGTATTATTATTTTACTATTTCAGTAATTCAGCTCTAATTTTTATTATTTCTTTTCTCCTAGTAGTTTTAGAATTGGTTTGTTCTTTCCAGCGTCCTTAAGTGCATCATTTAGTTGTTCATTTGAGATCTGTGTCTCTCTCTTAATGTAGGCACTTAGAACTATAAATTTTCCTCTTAGAACTGCCCTCATTGTATCCCAGAGATTCTGGTATCCATGTCCATGTTTTATATCCATTTTCATTTGATTCTAAGAATTTCTTAATTTTTCCCTAATTTCTTCAAGGACCACTCATCACTGAAAAGTATATTGTTCAATCTGTTTATATTTGAATAGTCTCTGTAGTTTTTCTTGGTCTTGATTTCTAATTTTATTCCATCATGAAAGATTATTTCAGTTTTTTTCATATTTGCTAAGACATGCCTTATGGCCTATTAAATGGTCAGTTTGGGAGAAAGTTCCATGAGCAACTGAAAAGAAAGTTTTATTCAACTGAAAAGAAAGTATATTCAGCTATTTGGGGATAAAATATTCTGTAGATATCTGTTAATTCTAATTGATCTGTAGTAATGTTTAAATGTGATATCTCTTTGTTGATTTTGTGTCTGCATGATCTGTCTACTGGTAAAAGTGGTGTATTGAAGTCCCCACTATAATTGTAGAGTTTATCAGTCCCTTCATAGAAAGTAAAGTTTCTTTTCTAAAATTAGATGCACTGACAATTGTTATATCTCCTTATTGTATTCTTTCTTTAACCAATACTAAATGGCCCACTTTGTCTCTTTTGTCTAATTTTGGTTAGAAGTCTGCTTTGTCTGATATCAAAGTGGCTACTCCTGCTTGCTTTCAGAATCCATTTGCATGGAATGTAATTTTCCATCCTTTCACTTTTAGTTCATGAATGTCTTTGCCTGTGAGGTGAGTTTCTTGGAGACAACATGCAATTGGAACTTAGTTTTTAATCCAATACACTAGTCCATGTCTTTTAATTGGAGACTTAAGACTATTTACATTCAGCATTACATAGAGAGGTATTGATTAAATTGTTTATCYGGTATTTCATCTACTTTGATATCTTCAGAGTCAATTGCTGGTGAATTATGCATCTGTCATTGATTTATTTCTAACATATAACTTGTTATTAACTATCATTTACTTATCTGCTATTCTCATGAGATTAATGTTATATCTGGTTCAGTGCTATCTATAGTTGTTGCTGCTTTTAATCTCTGGCCCAATCACTCCTGTTGGGTTCATTAGTGTTGCAGATGTTATCATTGGCACCTGATATTTACTTTAATGCTGCATGTTATTCACTGGTATTCATTGTTGCTGTGTTATATTCTCTTTTCTATGAGATGCTTGGGGACATATCATGACACTTCAAGTTCATGGGGTAAATTCTCTGATGATGAGCTACAACCCCAACTCAGTTAAGAGACAAATGACCTTGTTCATACACAACCAAGTTCCACTCAAACTTCAGCAATACATTAACACAAAGAATAAGGGAGAGAAAACACCAACAGAATGACCAGGCCTCAAGTAGGAATAGATTGGGGGTGGGATCTGAAGGCCTGTTTATGGACATCTGCTCCTATAGCAATAGCACAGAAAAATAACATGAGGACTCTACCTGTAATCCCAGCAGCTGGGGAGGCTGAGGCAGGATGATCTTGAGTTCAAAGCCAGCCTCAGGATATGAAAAACTGTGCTCTATATATGTAATAAGAATTATAATGCCTTCTGCTGTTATATATAAATTTAAAAATATTACATTWAAAAAGTTACCCTTATACCCACTTGGACCATACAAAGTTAAAAAGACTAAAGGAGTAATTGCAGAGAGTGTTCCCCCAATACACTGAGGTCTACAACACAACTCTGTGTTCCCATTCTTGTGACAACTACAGAGAAAGTGAGATCCTMAATTTCTGACACAGAAATACTGTAAGTGTTCATTAGTCACTGCCAAATAACTAAAAKGAAAATTGTACTATGAAACCCACTTGGAAATATATTCAATAATTCACAACAACCTTATATCCCTGGGAAAATCAGCAAAAGAAAGCCATGCACCCCCCCCCMMAAAAAAAAAACCCTCACATTAGAGCAGAAGAGAAATCCAACCTAACAGATACACAAATCCTAACTTGGGAATTCAATAAATATGAAAAATAAGATGACAAGACACTTCCTAAGGTTCATAATTCACCAACAACTGACTCCAAGGATATCAAAGTAGATGAAATAAACAATTCAAAAGAATGATTCTAAAAAAATACCAATAGATTCCAAGAGAACACAGAAAATCAACTGAATGAATTCARAAAAAAAATACAGAATATGGATGAAAAAAATCTATAAAGAGATAAAGTTATTCAAAAAGCACCAAACAAAATCAAAAGCACAATAAGGAAAATTTAAAAAAAAATCTTAGTTGAAAGCTCATCATTAGACTAGATCAAACAGAAGACAGAATTGCAGGACTAGAAGACAAGCTAGTTGCACTTGGAATATTCAAACAGTAATAAATATAAAAAGTAAGGAACTATGAACAATAATATAAAAGAACTCTGTGACAACACTAAGAGACCATACTAAGAATCACAGGTCTTAGCCAGGCTTGGTGGCACACACCTATAATCCCGGCAGCTAGAGAGGCTGAGGCAGGAAGATCTTGAGTTCAAAGCCAGCCTCAGGATATGAAAAATTGTGCTCTATATATGTAATAACAATTATCATGCATTCTGCTGTCATATATAAATTTTAAAATTTTACATTAAAAAAAAAAGCCAGCCCCAGCAAAAGTGAGGTGTTAAGCACTCAGCAAGATCCTGTCTTTAAATAAAATACAAAATAGGGCTGGGGATGTGGCTTAGTGGTTGAGTGCCCCTGAATTCAATCCCTAGTACACACAAACACATTTTTAAAAAATCATAGGTTTTGAGGAAGGAGAAAAAGTATAGGCTAATGGTATAGAAAACCTATTTAGTAAAATCATCACAGAAAAATTCCCAAACCTCATGAAACAGATGGACATTCAGATACTGAAGGTATTTGAGCCCCAAATACACAGAACCAGAAAAGAACTTCTCCATAATATATTATAGTTAAAATGCAAAAAATCCAGAATAAAGAATTTTTTAAAGCTACAAGAAAGAAATGCTGAGTCACTTTAAAARGCAAACCAATTAGAACAACAGCAGATTTCTCACCAGAAACTCCAAAAGGCCAGAAAGACTTGGAACAATGTATTTCAAGCCCTGATAGAAAATAACTGGCAAGATTGCTATATCCATCAAAACTKTCGTTCGGAATCAATGAGGAAATAAAAACCTTCCAAGATAAACAAAATCTAAAGGAACTCATGGTCATTAAGCCAGTATTGCAGCAGATATTCAGAATCCTACAAAAAGAAGATGAAAAACAACCAATAAGGTGTGGAAAAAAGCTTATAAGCCAATATTACACCATGTTTGCATAGTTACAGCAGGATCTAACAAAACTAAAAATCAAAACTATTTTAATGTCTTGAATGTATGGCTTACCATCAAACTGCTTGGTGGCTTCACAAATACAAATACTTAACATAATAATGTTGCCCTGATTAGAAAATCAGTCCTAAGTCTATTTGGAATCTGTGACACTTTAACAGTTTTTCAGTACCGGGGTAAAGAATTTAGGGTTTCACATTTGCTAATCAAGTGCTCTACCACTGAGCTACATCCCCAGTACTTTGCATTTATTTTYGAGACAAGATCTCACTAAATTGCCCAGAGAGGTCTTGAATTTGCCACCCTCCTGCCTAAGCCTCCCTATGGCTGGGAATTACAGGTGTGCATCACTGTGCCCAGCTAATTTGTAACATTCTCGATACAACTCCCCACTCTCTTCTGAGAATATTGAGTCCTGCATGGTACTATAGCCCTAGACAATTCAGAGAAGCAAACTCTGACTTGTTGCTCACATCACGTAACCAGGCCCTTTGATATCTTTTTTTTTTCTTCAAGTTTGTAATAATGCTGTGACTACTGCTGTTCACAAATATTTTATTTATAAAATCTATCTTCCCCTAGGGCTGGCACAGAGGATCTACAAGATGAAGGCTAGTCTATAAATTCCATTCACTCTAGGACACTGAGTTCTTTCTCAAACATCAATCGCCGAGCTGGGAGTTTAGACAGAGTAAACTGGCTGTGCTTCCCAATTGCAATATAGAAAGCAAAGCATCTCTTTGCAAATAGACTTTCCTGGTGTGGCTTTCCTTACACAAAAAGAGGACTCCATTGTGAGGTAACAGTGCTCTTCCTACTGCTATAGCCCAGTATTGAAGGCAAAAAAAAAAARGACAAAATGGTTTTTTGCAGCTCATGGCCATCTTTAGATTAACATTTGAATAATCAATCTTACACAATATATTTAAAAMTTTCAATAATAAACCTTACATGATATACTTGAGTAGTCTTTGTGTACTTCACACTGTTGACCCTTTTCTATGCTCTTATGTAAAGTATTGACGCCATTAGTACAGCACAGGAGTCATTTGGGGTGAGCAGAAGGAGCACATCATTGTGTCTCAGAGGACCTGAAATTTCAAAAGACACCAAGGTCACTCCTGTCAGCTACAGTTTGGGCAAACTTCTGCCTCTGGAATACTAAGCTTGGCTCAGTCAATAGCTAAAGRGTCTAACCTCGAGTTTAGATGTTAGCTAAACTTTAATACCGGAACAGGAAGGAAAAGGCTGCATTCCTTTCCTCTTTATTGCCCAGCCAACATCCCATGCTGCCATCCACAGAGGATGCTGCCATGGCTAACCAACCTGACGGGCCAGTCCCAGCTCTGTGACTACACGCTCTCTACCTCCTGCCTGCATTTCACTCTCCCCTCCTGCTTCCAGGGCGCTGTGGTCCTTGCCAACAAATCTCTTCTGCTTTMTCTCAGTTGGCTCAGATCACACTGTGTCATCCGGAAGCCTGGGGCCCTTTTCCCTCTAGATCCTTGTCTCGTTGCTGCTGGACCTTTTCGTCCATCAACTTCTGGACACCTCTCAAGTCTGCCACTGTCTTTCTCAGACCTTTTGTCCAGTATCCCTAACTGTGACCATGATGTGCGTTTGATCAAAATGAGGGGTCGTGTAATACCCGACCAGGCATCTGCTGGGTGTTGATCGGTAGCATCATTTGCTCTCTGCATATTGGTTAAGTGGCGATGAATGRCAAATGGTAGGGAGTCCTCTCTACTTTATTCTTCAGTTTGCATTTTTTTCATTCCTAAGATATTATAGGGTGAGAGAACCACTCCATCTCCCCTTCTCTAACACAGCCGTACAGCCATATAAACACCTTTCATTCTTCAGACATAACTTGAACACCAACTAGGAGCCAGATACTTTCCAGACCCCAGAAATRTAAAATGAATAAAAGACAATCTGCACCCTCAAAGAGCTCACACACAGAAATGAGCAGATGACAACGTACTTTGATAGTTGGGGACAGAGGCTTATACAGCTCCCATAGACAAAGAGCTATCACCCCTCTTGCTTATGGAGATATCCTCTGTGACTCCACACCATGCTGAGGGGGTAATTCGGGAACTGGGCAGCTCACTTTTGGACTGCAATACACAGGAGAAGACGACTTGGAAGACTTTGTAGACACCCACAAYATGAACCTCTTTTCATCCTGGAAGACCTGTATCTGTGGAACCCCTACCTTCTGTCAGTGCACCTCTTCACCTGTTCACTTCCCACCTCTCTCTTCCTTTCTTTTCCTTCCTTTCTCTTATTTCATTCTCTCTCTCCTGTTTCTTTCTCTCTTCCYTTTTCTCTCTATTATACACACACATCCTAAATACACTTTCTTGCATGGAAGACATCTAATTAAAAGCCTTCTTGCATTCAGAGTAGTTGATGAACAACGAGATATTTTAGTATTACTTACACAGACCAGGATTGTTTCAGGGATGCCAAAACTCCTCCTGTTCCCYCTCCACCTCCCTCTTGAACCATTCTAGCACTGACCCTCTTCCTCACTGATAAATCAAGTCTGGGCACCTTAGAGGCGCTGACATTTGCTCCTTATGGTGAATGAAGTCTTCGAATATTCCAACGACAGGACTCATCCATTTCCTTGGTGAGCTGCTCCTGCCGGGGAGGCTCTCGTTGCCTGGTTCACGGATATTTCCCTGTCATCTGTCTCAGGTATAAAAGGACCCACACTCTGCAGATGCGGCAGCTCAGTAACGGCGCTGCATTCTCATTGGGGGACAGTGTCAGGGAAACACTTTTCTAATTTCAAGTGCTACACAAATGTGGGTCTTTCAAAGATTGATTGAGCAGCAAAGTTTCCAACAGAAGGGAATCAAAGCCTGCGTAATAATCTCCACATTGGGTGCATCCCCCCCACACACACTTGAAAGAGCCCATAAAGATATATGAGTGTTATTGGATGAAATATTTCTTTGGGTGCAATAAAACTGAAAGGTGTCTTTTACTCYATGCTTTGTTGCCTTTAAAACGTGAAATGGAAAGAAATAACCAAGAAAAAGCTAGCAGCACAGCTCGTTCACTTTTGAACTCTCTAAACCATCCACTCTAATTCAACCTGACATCGCTAATTTTGGCATTAGAGTTTGAAATGAAAATCAATATCTGTTTTGAGCTTGGAAACAGAGTGACTGACTGTACCCGGGGTAGAGCATAGCCAGGCACTTATTTTCAATGGTCTGTAATTGAGGGAACAGAAATTTTCCAATTCAGAGCATTTGAAACACTAATTCAGATGAAATCTCACTGTCTTCCTGAAATTAATTACGTACCACTCCCTCCCGAGGCCAATTGTAAAATCATTTTCAAGGTCTCTCATGTGTTTTCTTTTAGAAAACCTGTGTTCCTGGGAACRTTATTTTCCACATGAGATTTAGAGATCCTGCTTGGCCCTTTCTGCTGGGGCAAGGGTCCCTGACTAATGTTGGTGGAGAGTGAAGGGCTCAGGGCCCAAAGACTGATTCCTCTTGTGATGCCAGGCTAGGGTTGGCTAAGGCTTGTGCTGGAAAAGTCCTGTCTGGGGAATTTGCTTTCCACTGTGTTTTCAGTGTTCTTAGTTTGTTCTATATTTCCATTAAAATGTCTTTGGAAAAGAAAAATAGACCCTTGAAAGATGTTTTACAGATGTAGCTTTATCTAATGTAACCTGCGCTTCATTCTAGTACTGAGATCAAGTGCA